CTAATCGTAATTATATACTTAGTTTCGAGTCTTGGGACTTGCCCTTGATCTTAATAATAATTGTATTGTAGTGCCTCAGTGTTCGTTCTTTGGACCGTTATTCAGTAAAATACGTGATCAGCATTAGGGACGGTCCCGTTTGTAGATAGCGATGACACCAAGGGCTTTATCGTGAACTAATTAATGTGAACGCCATGAAAAGGTACTGTATTACGAATCCTTAGCAATATTAGTATCATAGCACATTTACATAGCATGGCTTATAACCCAGCGGTTAACTTTTCATTTAAATATGAGCATTAAGCCTTATGTCAGTCATACAATATAAAAGTAAATGGCAGCTCTCAAGTTCTCAAGTAGCGGCCTATGCGCTACAAGCGTGATGCGTAGTACTTCAACCGTCGATGACAATCCGTCCACCAGCTGCATCGTCGTCGATTATTGCTATCGGATGCTATGGTATTGCTATCGCTGATTACTGTTTGCAATTCGCAGCGTGTAATGTGCAATCTTGCAAGTCGCGAGCGATGTCTGTATGCCAATTATGGTAATATTTACATAATAATAGCATTTCAATAGAATCTCATCTACTTATATTTTGTATAAAATCTCTCATCTCAGAGTACTAGAGACAAAGTGGATTTTTAAGAATATTTTTCAGTATAGCATTGTGAATGCAAAATTGAAGAAATATAAATATAATAATAAAATAAATACTGATTCGCGCGCTAGCAGTTAGCGGTAATCAAAATTTATGACAATGCAGTGCGCTGCAGAGTAGTTAAAATGTGCTATGACCTTAACGTCTTGAACTTTGCAATTCTATTATCATGAATTATTGACAACTGCAAAGTAAATAAGCTACATTGCGTCTCTGTCGTAACTGGGATTATGCATTATGATTAAAAGTTTCAGACGTGCACCTCTGTAAATAAAAGTAAATAAAAATTCCATATAAGTTGGGAGACTGGTTTAGTGAAAACTGTTAATAAAATATGTGACCCCTAATATTCCAGTTATAAAAATTTCATTCAATCATGACAGATAGATCTGATAATGGGTTTATTTTTCTGAAGCTCTTCCTATTCTGAAACAAATTGAGACCTACGTGTCTAAATATTTGCGATAATCGGAATGTATATTACTGATTTGAAATAACATATTTTGCTAGAATTTATGAGTATGTAAATAATTTGAAATGAACAGTCCAAAAATATAAATTTCAAAAGATTAAAAAACACTAACCCCTTAAAGAGGCTTTCAAAGCCGTCGCTAACAAAGTTGAACCAAAAATTAATCCTGGCCACGTTAGGAGATTAATTAATTTGTTCACCTTGACAATTAAAATTCCTTTATTTCCGCGACATAATTAAAAGGGGTAAAGGTTACGTGTTATTGTACCGAGCCTTACTCTATAATATTAATGACGCTATCACCACATATAATTCACAATTTCTTATCGGACGCTGAGATATTTTACGCTACACAACATATTTTTATTTAGTTTTCAAAGTGATTCAAGATGAAGGTTTATATGTATAATACAGAGAGCTAATACTACAACATATATTTTTTTTAAACGTAGAACTGACTTCCAAATTAAAAAAGTGAGTAATTAAAAGCGACTTCATTATTCAAGTGACTGATATTGAAGTCGGGTGAGGGTTTTCTGTAGTTTAATAAATGATAATATAATGATAAATCTATGTAAAGAAATATATTTATCACTAAAATTAGCACGAAGTCGTGGGAAAAACCGTTAGATTGATAGAAATTGGTTCACAATTTACGAAGAAATAAGTGAAACTTGTCTGTTTACATAAAAAATATGAACATTACATAATCCTTTTCAATTTTGATTAAATAGAAAATACTCTATCTTTTCTTTTTTCGCTGATATGTTGTGTAATTGGTGAAATGCATATTTCAATTTGCTATAAATAAATATAAATATAAATATTTAACAACATCACATACATTGCTCAGATTCCATCTTGAGTAGCTTTAGCTACTCATCTTGGAATCTGAGAGAGCTTAAGTATCTGAGACAACGAAGGTACTACAACACCCAGACACGAGTCAATATAGAAAAGTTTATTTACTACATTGACCTGACCGGGAATCGAACCTGGGACCTCAGAGAAGACACCGTGCAACCGGCGTGCGAACCACTCGTTTATATGAAACCACGCCCGGCTCATAAGCTCTCTAATAACAAAAAAAATTTTGAGTATCGGTAATAATTTGCGGAAATATCGGTGTAAATATATAAAAACCATGTATCATCTTCAAACATAGACTATTTTTTTAATTTTTAGTCGGTTAAAACTAAAAGTCAAACAAAACAACAATATTCTAGTGTATATTTTATTTGAAATCAAATCAAATGCAAAATTAAATCTTCAGCTTTATCTATTGATATTGACCAACGCGCATATAACAAAATTATTTTTTTCAACATAAAATTTCAATTTAATTTATTTATGTCTTTTAAATTATATTCCCATACATCAGTTTTACAATTGCCTGAACTAAAATTATTTTGGTCTTTTGGTGAAAACAGAATATTATTTTGGTGAAAACAGAAATTGTACGGCTACGTTATCAAATCAGTTAACTCAATATGTAAGTTTAGAATCATCGAGTATAGACAATTAATTAAAAATAATGTATGTAAGTGTATGTAATTTGAAAGTGTTCTTTTATTTATATCCACGTCTGCATGCCGTGGCAACCTATAATTTAGGCAAAATTTAGCATATAATAAGCATATAATAACAAAATAGGCATTGAATTATTTACTTATAGACGATTTGTATCTTGTTGGTTGTCCTAATCAAATAAATAAATAAAATAATACATAAGGCAATATTCTATAAACACTCCATTCCGATATCATTATACCAAATCGGTCACAACTGCATGAAGGCAAAATGTTGGCCGCCAGCCAGACTGCACGGTGACTCGTCGAAGATATCGCGCCTATTGACATGACTTGACGCAGATAGTGCCTTTTTTAGTTTCCACAGAAATTAGGGCGGATAAATAGGTCAGCGGGTAGTGAATACAGTCTTACGCATTCCCGGTTAGCTGCCATTAAGCTCTCGTCCGCAATCAACTTCCCCCTTTTTATTACGTAGGCTCAATTTTTATTTTGTCTAGTGTGACCTCGGCTGAGTCATCAAAGATAATATCGAGCTCGACTTTAAATTGAACTTTCCTTCACAATTGTTCCCTTTGTTTGTTCTCTGATGTTGTCAGCGATTTTTTTTGCTGAAACGACTCAAAAACACTTAAAGTCAGTTGCACCATAAGTGCAGTTAATATTAAGGTTTATGTGAAATTTGATAATGTCTGCACGCTGACTAACATTGATTGTGGAATGCGTTGCACCATTCTCTTTCTTGGTGTAGTAAACAATAACTTAAGCGGTTATAGCTTACAGTTAAAGTTATGTCGTCATCCAATCCATTTAAAAATGATCACTCATTATCATTTCCTTAGCCGGTACTTTATCATGTTTGTTATTGTTAAGTAAGTTGGTGCAACTAACCCTTAAAGTTTCTGAAAATACACTTACACTTAAAATAAACGATTCGTCCACGTGACTATCTTCTTCTTCTTCTTCTCACAACGGGCGTCTCCGCAACTCGACGACCAAATTGCGCCTATTTTGCGTGTGGAGGGTGTGTGGCCGGATGCTACTCGGTGCCAGCCAGCCCAGCTGTGCCAGGAACGCCCCGAGCGCCTTCACATCTGCGATGGCCGAGGTGCTTTGCCCGGTAGTTGGCCACTCCGTTGCATTCCAGCAGGACGTGAGTGGCTGTTTCTTCCGCCTCCATGCATCCTCTGCACAAGGGGCTGTCGGTGACACCTAGATTGAAAAGGTGCCTGTTAAAGTTGCCATGACCAGTAATAGCACCCGTTACCAGGCGCAAATATGGTTTACTTAGCTGTAGGAGGGCTTTGGAGAGGCGAGCGTTCACTCGGGGTAGTGCAAGTTTGGCCTGCCTGCAGGTTTCCAAAGTGTGCCAGTATTGTTGATGTAGTTTACTCGAGTGTTCACGTATCCTACCAATTAACCAGCTTACCGGAATGGGAATGAGCGGTTCCGGGCCCATTGGTATTGCATCTGATCCTCTGCGTGCCAGTTCGTCAGCTGCATCATTTCCACGTGATCCACTGTGTCCCTTTATCCATTGGATAGTAATTATATTGTGTGTCCCTACCATGTTTAGAACCTGGTGACACTGGTCCTGTTACCTTCCTTGTAGTTATCGCTCTCGCCGCCAGGGTGATCGTCATACATTCAGCCTGGAAGACTGTATTGTATGGGCTGAGGGGCAGGAACAGATGTATGTTAAGGTCCTCAGAGAATACAACAGCTCCTGTGCCTGTTGAGGTTTTGGAGCCGTCCGTGAAAACTGTGAGGGCCCTGTGTGTTACCTTTGGATCATCACTGTCCGTAAGATTTATCTTGTATTTCTTGTCAAAGATGAAGGTGGATTTGATTCTGTCGCACACCGCCTCAACAAGCGGGGTGTTAAGCCATTCTTTCAGTAAGCCATTGAGATGTTTTGCGGTATTGAACCTTACCAGTCTATGATTTTTTAGTCTCAACGCTGTCTTGGCCGCTGGTGTAATATTCAACATTACCTCCAGAGCTGCCGTGGGCGCCGTGCTCATGCATCCCGTCAGGGCGCAACACGCCTGCCGTTGGGAGCTTTGCAGTTTGTTTTCACAGGAGGACTGAGTAGTTTTTGGCCACCAAACAATGGCACCATAACTAACCATCGGTCGTATTACTGTGTTGTAGAGCCACAAGAACAGTTTTGGCGCAAGTCCCCAACGCTTCCCTATCATTTTACGGCATTGCCACAGGATGACGCTCGCTGATTTAATTTTGTGTTGGACATGTGACTATCATTTATATAAGTATTTTAATTAAATAAAAATTTGACGACATTAAATATATTTCTCTGGTCCTTAATATTAAAGTTATGCACTGGAATTATGAAATGAAAGCCAGCGTTCAAATCACTTTCTTGCGGAGGTAGACAAATAACTATAAAATTGTGTCGTAACGTCGATCTTTTGTATTGATTTTAAAGTTCGTCGATTAGGTATCTTTATACAAAAAGTACGCTTAGCTAGGGTGTCGGGGTCGCGTCTGTAATATCTTTTAAAGTATTTTCATGCACGAGGACCATTATAGCTTCGTAGAAATAAAAGCGATGAAACGAACAGTCTACTATGCTACATACTCCAGTATACAGATATAATGTACACGACCTTATAGCAGGGGTTCTTAAACTTTTAAGATAGTGGTACACTCCGTAAATACCTAGAAAACGGCACCTCAAAATTATATTGGAACGAAATGTTAAATTATTGGAAATATATTAGAATTGTTTCATTTTATTTCTAAATATAACTATTTGACGAATGAAATAGGTTCACTGTTTTTGTCTACATTAAAGTTCAGCTTTATGTACAATAAGTTATTTAGTGGAAATCTGATGACTTTCCTACGAAATCATGTTTTTGTGAATAACTTTCATGTAGAACCATTGGCTTTACCCGCGGTCTTGCCTTTGTGAACGAAAGGGATTACCAAATTTTTTTATTTGTATGTCTCAAATCACAGTTTCATCATTTATCTAAAAGTGAAATTCACCAATTTTAATTTTTATAAGTTTGAAAATAGGGAACATGATAATTCCCTATTTTGTGTACATTTTTCATCCTCTTTAACCATCCCGAGTTGAAATTTCCAAATTTACTTTAAAGGCCGTTTGTAGGATGGGGACCAAAAATTTAATATGCCGAGCTCCTACGTGCTTCAGAAGACATGTTAAAAATAGAGTTTTGGATAACCTTATCTAGATCTTTAACCTTTAAACTAAGATCTTTAACCTATAAGTTTTAAGTTAAGATCTTTAACTTTTAAAAAATATTTTCGGAATTAAAATAAAGTTGCTTAACCATCTAGTTTTTATTGAATTATTGTTTATTGTATTTAATTTGGGACTATTCTATTTAATGATTTCAACAAATGTATATTAGTATAGTAAATGTTTTTCTTTAAAAATAAACGGCTAAAGTATTACAATCGTCCAGTATAGTTTATAATATAAATACATTACAATCACATACCAGCATTAACTATTAACAGTTTCCGTAACTTTGTCTGTGTAGAATTATTCTACTTCTCTTGGGAATTGCGGGAAATTGTTTCTTAACGGACATCAAACTCACTATGCGGACTTATCTTGGGTTTCGATATTGCTTTTCAAAGAATGGAGAGTAATAATACATTTAATAAATCGATTTCTAACTAAATGTAGATACTGAACGCTATAAATTAAATTCCTTAACAAAGCGATATGTTCAACAACTTTGTTTTATCTACTATATGATGACTATTTGTTGGTCTGTCCGTCATATGGATTATTGAAGAATATTAAACACGTTTTTTTTTTGCATAATCAATAAATTACGACGATACATTAAATTAAATAAATATCAGGCAACATCACGTAGTAGCTAAAGCTCCCATATTATGAGGTATATGAGAGGTACCACAACAGCCAGATCAGAGACAATATATAAAAGACCCTATAATATAAAAGACCCAATATAAAAATACGTGAATAATATTTCCCTATAATCTTACCGATGAACTAAATAGATTTTTTATTTTTTACCCATGCATCATTTCTATTATGGGAATAGCAAAAATCACCTAATAGCATTGTATTATAAACGATTTGCAAGCTTAGTGCATTCTACGTTGCAATCTTAATAATTTTGTTCAGCCAAACCGTATGTTAGTGCTTCACAATTCAAAGCACTTTTCGTAGTACCTACCTTTCAGCCCTTAAAATATTTAGGCTGAATAACCTACCGTAAGTGAACTAAGCTAAAAGTTTTAGCGGCTTCACACTTCCTTCACGGTAAAAGCGAAGTTACAAAGTTGAAAGGTACGAGACATTTCACATAAAAGTTTCTCAACAAATTTTACTTACTTAGGTAATTTCAAACATAGTTTCATGGTTGTTTATGTTGAACGTGTCATGTTTGTCTATGTCGACAATGATTATTATGTTTTTTTTTTATTGTTCACAGGGAAACAAGAATTTCTGCAGCAGCCGCATTAGCAGGAGGTACCGAAAGAGCACAAAAAGCGTTAACTGCCTCATTTGCTCTATTGAATTTAGTACCGGATTCTGAAGGAAGGAATACGTGGAGACAAGTTGGAAGAATATTAGGGCGCAATGTGAAGTTACATACAATAATCTGGCCTGGTGGACGGCTCGTTGCTCATGGACAATCAGACGGTGCGCGGACAATTTTTCGTATAGTTACAGCTTTAGCACCACCGTTTGTAATGGAAGGCGAACTTGATGAAGACGGCCAATGTCTTAGAGGTCTCCTATGCCATCGACCACAAACATCTGATAGAGATAATCTCACTCTTGCCTTTAACGATTTAGATAGAGACAGTGATCAAGAAGAAACAGATTTTTTTTTCCCTACACCCAAACCAATGTTCTCACGCATGGCCACGCATTGCTGCTATGGACTGGCTATGGATCTCCTTGAAAATATTGCACAAGAACTTGAATTTGATTTTCATCTGTATATAGTTGAAGATGGTTTGTACGGCTCGCGAAGACTTGTTAAACCATTTCGTAAATTGAGCGAATATAGAAGTGTTGCTAATGAATTCCTTTTCAATCAACAAAGCTACCGATCACAATACCGTAATGGGTTGGGTATTAATGAAGAATATAAGTATGATGAAAATTCCGACGAAGACCCAGAGAAATGGAATGGTATAATTGGGGATTTAGTTTCAGGGGCAGCTCACATGTCCTTCGCTGCTCTCAGTGTATCAACAGCCAGAGCAGAAGTTATTGATTATAGCCAACCTTATTTTTTTAGTGGAGTTTCAATATTAGCTGCACCCAATCAGAGGCCTGATATACCGCTACTGGCTTTTCTTTTACCATTTTCACCCGAGCTTTGGATCGCCATATTTACATCTTTGAATGTGACAGCCATAGCAGTCGCAATATACGAATGGTTATCCCCATTTGGACTAAATCCTTGGGGGAGACAGAGATCTAAAAACTTTAGTATTTCTAGTGCTCTTTGGGTAATGTGGGGTCTTTTATGTGGTCATCTTGTTGCATTTAAGGCTCCGAAAAGTTGGCCTAACAAGTTCCTTATCAATGTTTGGGGTGGTTTTTCTGTGATATTTGTTGCCAGTTATACTGCCAACATTGCCGCACTTATAGCCGGACTATTTTTCCATAATGCTGTTGATGATTATCAAGGAAGGAGTAATGTAAGTATATTAATCATAACAATATTTTATTAAAGCCAATTAGTTCAGAACAATATCTATCGAAAGGAAAATAAAAATAAAAATTTGATTGTCTATTTCTTATATTAATCTCTAATTTTATTTTTGAGCTTTGATTTCTTACTAGATTTCTTTCTAATTTTACGACAATAATTAAATAAATGTGATTTCAAAATTAAACCTTTTAAATGCTTTCAGTGGCTTTCTCTCCGTGTTGGGACAGCCAGGTCGTCGGTGTCGGAGTATTATGTCCAACGGAATAATCCACAGCTGGCGCAGCAAATGCGCCGTTACGCGCTCCAAGACATTGAGGAAGGCATCCAGAGGCTTAGGTAGGAGGTTAATATATTAAAATGAACGTGATTTCACAAAGCTTAATATTTTTCTGGTGGCTTAAAATGTATATTAATTTACGACACTGTTCCATTTAAACAGAAATCACTTTCTATATTAAAAAAAATAAATAAAGGGGATACTCATATTGTTGACAAAAAATAATATCTTCTAAGCTCTTAGGCAGTATTATTATTATCAAAGTATCGCTTAAAATTGCACTTGTTTATAATGTAGTATTTTTTTTTTCTTGAAAAGAAAGAGGTTAACACAATCCTAAATATGATAAAATAAACGGGCTTCTAAATAGCTTAGTATTTTATAGCGGCTTAAAATCTATCTGTATTCATTTACGTTACTGTTCCATATAAACGGAAATCAGTTTCTATATTAAATAATGTGTGCCGGATAGCGACCACCGGTACTTGGTTTTAGTTATTCGTGGCTTTAGCTATTCGAAATTTTGTGTAATTTTGGGAGCGATAAATAAAAGATGTGTGTCGTTGAAAAACCGTTAAAAAGTGAAAGTATAATTGTTTCAAAAAAGTTACAACGTCTTTTTCTTGCAATGCGTTTCGTTCGTTCATGAACATAATGAAAGGTACTATCATTTTTTTTTTCTTCAAAAAAGCATCAGCCTTTACATTTTCAAGCAGAATAATTCTCAAAGTATTACTTAAAAATCCACGTATTTATAATGAAGTATTTTTTACTTTTCTTAAAAAGAAAGATGTTAATTTTTTGAGCAAATTGTGCCTGTAAAGTAAAACTTCTAAAACAGGATCGCTCTTTTGAGACCTGATTCTATGCCAAACGTTGCACGGTAAAATGTAACAACACCTTATTAAAAGGCGTGACGGTAACTTTTTCCACCTCTTTTCCGTAAAAGTTTTCGAGCTTAAAAAGCATTTCAGTTATAGCGACATAAATGCATTTGTCGAAGTAAAATACCGCTATACACGTTTATCCATCAATGACCCCACACAAATCACCTACACTTGGACCAATGTGATATGTAATTAATAAATTAATTTCCTCGGTTAAAAATTTAATACATTTTGGGGAATCCGTTTAATTTTTAATATAAATTTGATAGTAAACCGAAATAAATAAACAAGTGCGTAAGGTACCTCCATCGATATATGTTTTGAAATAATTGTTTATCAGAGTCACTTTTCAAATCGAAAGCATTTACCGTCCTCTCAAGCAACAAAGATTAAAAAATTTAAGAAACTGCCTTACAAATACACATTGTTCTTGAGCGCATCTATTATTAAAACATTCGCACCACACATTTGTCAAGACAAAATTTACCTTATTCTTTGGTGTACAAAGTGAAGACTTATTTGAGACGAGCAAATTTTACTATACTTTTTTATTGTGGTGACTGAGTACATATTTATATGCCACTCACGGCTTTAAGGTCTAGTCTGCTTACGGCTTAACACTTTCGAGTTTACGATGACTATACACAACGAATGTACATTTATATCGTAACACTCAGTTTATGCGCTCTCGTAAGAGTCTTTCCAGTACAAGGTTTAAAATGCTTAACAAAGTATATTCTACATTGTTTTCAATCACATATAGTTATAATTAAATCTGCCTAATCGCCGAATAGAATTAATCTTATTTTTTTATATATTCAGACTTTTGGCGAGAAAATCTTAAGTGATTGCACTTTGGTGGTCTCTGAATGAGTTAACTTACATTTATTTAGTTTTTGGCCCCAATAATATAGTCAGGTAATTATGACGTGTGACAAACGTCTATATAAAAATTGCATTAGTACGTATATATTATGATATTATATAAAAATTAAGTATATTTTAAACAATATATTGAGCTTAGATTGGAAATTTAGCTTAGATTAAAAACGGTAGATTGATTTAATATAAATATGTTTTGGAAGTCGTTTTTTAAAGTTTATATAACCATAGATTTATATTTTATGTGTTTTGATATCTTTACCGGAAAAACGTCTTGGCGTTATCATAGTCTAGCTGTTATTGTTTTATATACTTTCACTTATTTTAGTAATGAAACGGTTTAAAGATTAATCTTTTTTATTTATGCTCTTTGTTAAACTATGCTGTAATTTATTTTCTTAGAAATGGAACATTGGACCTTTTAATAGCCGATACCCCTGTTTTGGACTACTATCGTGCTACTGACCATGGGTGTAAACTTCAAAGAGTAGGAGATCATGCACTTGCTGAGGACACTTACGCAGTTGGTATGGCCAAAGGATTTCCACTAAGGGTACGTATATACTATTTTTTTTTTATCTCGTACAAAAATTTAGAGAGGTTAAAATCATTTTGTAGATGTACACTGTAGATGTGCTTGTAACAGTAATATCTATCTATATTTAAATTATTTAATGTCGGTTATGTCACAAGAGCTTAAAAGCTTAGTCGTATATTGATAAAATTTACGCTTCATCGGTTAAAAAAATATGGCGTCTCCGACCCGCTTTAATGAGTAACGCATGTCTCAGGAATGACGGTCTCAAACAGTCTCGCTAAGAGCGACGTCTGAAGTAACATCTATTTCCATAAGAAGGACTAGGGGGGCGGAGCGGGGGACCGATTCCGGATCTTTGTAAGGCAAGATTGATGGATGACGCACGAGTCTCCTAATGTTGTGATCGATAGTCGGTGTCATGTAGCCCAGACTTCGTCGATTATACGTCATTTTATCTTGACGCGTTCAATATACCATGGTCTCGGTTCACGACATAAATCAGTGGATCATAAAAACTTTTTGTTTCGTATTTCATGAGGCTCGTGACGTAACAGAAATCCGTTTGTCGACGCCTTGTTGAATCCGGCCCCGTCACAGATGTGTCGCCATTGTTTCCACTGTGATTCAGCCGAATGACATTTACAAATACCTCCACTTATCCCGTGTTGCTAAAAAATATACGTGTTCATTCGTTTTGACATGGATATTTGTTTTCAGGATAGCATATCCGCTGTTATCGCTAAATATTCGTCGAATGGTTACATGGATATATTAACTGAGAAGTGGTATGGAGGTTTACCTTGTTTTAAATTGAGCCCTGATTATGGAATTCAACCAAAGCCACTCGGTAAGAAAACATTATGAGTTTTAAAGAAATATAGCAATATTAATGAGTTTTTATCTGTGATTACGATATAAGTGCACTGTTAGTAGTAGTTAGTACACTGCTTCGCTTTAAATATATATTCACCTTTCTAATTTACATAGATTTTAATGAATTATGCACTTAAACATTCCTCATGAATTATTCTGCTCATAAGTGAATTCCATGAAAATTCCTTTATTAGTTTATCGCGTTCAAACAAACCGACGACGTTTAAACTTAATGTATAAAGCGTTCACAAACTTGGCTCAGAAAAAATATACAACAAAGAAATACTTTTCTAATTTTAATAATAAGTTAAAAGCATACCTTTTTCGCTTGAATATAAATGAATATATAAGCCTATTGGATCTAATAGTGAGCGGCTCGTCTCCAACGGAAATTTCATTAGAATTTATCGCCATACCCTATTAATCCATGGCGAGGCGTCGAGAAAATTTTATCAGCGGTCGACCTTTAAAAGATTAAACATCGGATCCATTGCTATAATGCGGCATTGCCAACTACCCTTTCTGTAACGGTAAATTTATTTCGCCAGAAGAAAGAAGTTAAGCAATATTTTTCTGCATTGGCAAGTTTAATTTCTTTTAGTCCCTTTTTTATTTTTGTTGATGTTTTCCGGGTAACTAGCTGAATTAAATAAAACTCTGTGGCGCTTTGTTACTCGTGTAACTTTGTTGTCACTTTCTTTTCAACTTTTCCCATGGGGTGGAATTCTTATTGAAATAACTTTAACATAAATGAATTGAACATATTAACTGTTTAAAAAAATCATAATTATAAATTGGATTAGTATTAAGATATTAGAATTATGGCTCAAATACTTATAATGGATTTAAAGAATAAGGGATTTTATAAATAAATGGAATTGATATAAACTTCTATGTAGATTTTTATTGTCTTAAGAATAGTGCTTATTTTTGAAACTGGACCGATTTTTTAAATACCTTCACCAACGTCAAATGCGATAATTTACGCAGCTCTATTGACTATGAGTCGCGGGACAGTAACATTTATAAAATAAATAAATAATTAAAATAAAAATGGAAAATATGGGCTCCATCTTTTTCTGAAGTCTAGTTTACAGCAAAATATTCCTGATGAAAAATGTATAAAAATCAATTTCAACTTACTCATTTTGGCATTCTGAGATGGGACTTGAACCCATGACCTTTCGCAATTAGGACGGTCACCCTGATTGCGAAAGGTCACCCACAAAGTGGATTTTTTAAATATATTTTATTAAGAATATATTCCATTCATTTTATCAATGAACATGTTGATATTCTTATACAATGTTCTTGTTTTATTATTTACATAATTAACCAATACTTTGATTATTTTACTTTACTAAATTAAAAAGGTTAGACTAAATTTAATGGAGAATTTAGACAAACAAAGCTATTCCGAAAAGGAAAATAAACCAAAATGTTTGATTAAATTTAAAAACAATAAAATATTGATAAAAAAAGTAAAATATTTCTAGTTAGACAGTCTCTGCTGAGCAATATAATGTGAGTTTGTCTAATTTTTATTTATTTTAAGAAAAACAAGGTAATGATAGTGAAATATACATGTTCGTTCTTATATACTTATAGCAATGGCTACCGTTTTATCGCAATGGCAGTTCTGGTTATAAATTTAACAACAACTTTTCGCATCTGTTCCAACACGATATTGCAAAAGTTTATCTATTAAATAAAATAAATGTTTCGAACTGTTTCAACAACGAATTTGATAATAAGAACAAGATAAATATGAGGTCATGCTTATTAAGAACAACTACTTAATTTGCATTTTTTGCTAAAAATGCAATAAACATTATCATAATCATTTAAACCACTTTATATTGCTTACGTATTGGGGAATTATTTAAATAAATTTCCATATGTAGTATTTAGTTTATTTGCTATTTTTTAACTTCATTTTTATATGTTTTGCAATATTTGTTTGTCTCGTAGTTATTTGCCATTTAAAATGTATCTGTAAAAAACAAGAAATTATCGATGAATATTAGAAAAAAAAGTATAATGTGAATGCTGCCAAAATAAGTCAAGAGTATAGATTCCATTCGTGTAGTTAAATCTCAAGGGCTTATGTAATGTGTGCCAAAAGTATTACCGCGACACCCTAATCCGAGACAATAGAGAAAACTTCATTTCAATATTGACTCAGGCCAGAATGGAACCTGGAAGTTAATAACTTGGAATTGTCGTGCGAGCCACCCAGCTACGCAGATAGTAAAACAAGTGATAAATGAAATAAAATAACACTTACTATAAAAGCTATTTTGAGAACAGTTTATTTTTTTTTTAATTTATAAACCTTTTCAAAAGTAAAACAAACTATCGGATAATTATACTAAAATGTTACAAAGATACACAAAACAAGACGTATTTTGATATTTATTTATTTTATGCTAAATTTTTCGTAATTAATAATTATTTGATAAGTAACTTCAATTATTGTATTTTATGAATATTCACAATGCTATGCTGAATATCTTTAATGAAGAATTCTTAATAATCCACCACTCTCCGGTACCCTGATATGGGCCACGAACCCACAACCTTTCGCAATCCGGTTGACTACACTTTTTTTAAGCTTTTTTCATTAAAGATTTGTAATTTCAAGTTGTTTTTCATAAATAATTCATCACCTTTTTTAATTAACCGACGGGATATTTGTCCACAACGCCTAAGATTAGCTTTTATTTACTTAAATCCGTTGCGAATTCCTTTAGCAGATACAGATAGCTTATTGCTACCCGGGTTATCCTTAACCTATATAGGTCGACAAAAGAACGTATAATAAATAATCGACAGACGAAGGATAATATTAAGGATATTGTTAGGGTGCCGTTCCATTGAACTGAGGCGCCGTTTTAATTAACCAATGGAATTCCTTTATTTCCACGTCTCTTTTTCGCTCCACTAATGGACGGTGTTAAAGTGAAGTGGTGGCACATTTTGTACGATAAACCTTCAGTAGATTTTTTGTAAAGAAATAGGTGTTTTAATTTTGTTAAAAATCATACGTTTCAATAATATATCGGTATTGTACGCAATTAATTATGATGTCAAAGTAACGTAAGTAAGTAGTTTCAATTCATTAATTAAATGCATTCCAATTTATCTTACAAAAAAATAATCATAAAGTCGAAGTGTTTCAAGTACAAGGCATGATTCGAGGCATGATTTCAGTAACTTAGCGACTGCCAGTTGCTACTGGTAAAGGATAGGTTCGAATCTCATCTAGGGATTGCAAGTCGTTTGATTTTTTTAAAGTATTAGTTTCTTATATTTTCACGCGCACTACTGAAACGTCAAGTAAAGAATTTTTCAGACATTTCAGATATTTTGCAGGTTTCATGTTACACGTCACGTCTTAGTCTAAGTGAACTCGGGACCTGTAAAAGATTCGAAACATCTGAAAAGTGAAAAATAATTTCCTTGTATAAGATAAATATCAAGATAGTATCGAGATGATTACTGGTTTTGAGCGTCTGGTTTCGTTACATGAGTCTTATGCCTCAGGCAAAATTAAGAAATGTGTGTTTTGCTCTTTTTGAGAAGAGATACCGCTGAACTTTTGCGTTTTTGCATAGCTGTAACTCATGCGAAAATAATAAAGAAGGTTAAAGTCTTAGATTAAGATTTATTTGTTTCTTGTATTAATATTCTATCAATGCATGTGAAGTGATACAAATAAATATGTCTATCTATGTATCTATCAGATGACAAATCGGTCTTATCATAAAACGACGACTAACTTTAGTGCCAGGTTTATCATTGTGCAACCAAAATAAGTTAACACATCTTAATTTAACGTTTTCTCTTCTATCACTGCCAATTAGTTTTAGGCGTTTAATTGTTTAAACCAAGTGCTATCGTTAGTCATCGTTTTATAATAAGACGGAATGTATTCTAATTGTCAATAATTAAGATATATTTTTATTCACAGGGGTAGCGGCAGTCGCTGGTGTTTTCATTTTGCTTGGCGTGGGCATGATTGTCGGCTGTCTCATATTGATCCTTGAGCACCTGTTTTATAAATACACTCTGCCTGTTCTACGTCACCAACCCAAAGGAACTATATGGAGGAGTAGAAACATTATGTTTTTTAGTCAGGTAAAGGAATTAAATGATATATGTTTGACTAGCACAATATAAAATTATATATATCATTAGGAACAAACGCACAAGCGGCCTTATTAAAAGAACTCTGAAATTTTCTGATTATTTCTCTTACTTTCAGATACCTATGAAAAATTATTTGCAAAATTTAAATTAATTGATTATGTAAAATGTTAAATTAAAATTATATTAAAATAAAAAATGTAAATGTAATACTTTACGTCGTATTGTAATCGACCTTATAAAATCAATTCGCAATATTACATGGCATCCTTCACCTAAATAGGAGATTACATTGGGGCATTAAAGTATTTGACTCAAAGGCAATCGGCTCTCCGCAACTTAGCTCGGAAGCACCCAGTACTACACTTTAAAGGCACTTGTTTGCCCTACTCAAGCGCGAAGCCAAGTCTGCTTCTAGGCGGATTATGTTCGCAAGTTACACGGTCGAGCAAATATAAAACACAGTATCTTGATAATACTTTACTTAATATAGAAAATATAAGTTTTGAAATTGTTATATCTTCGCGCAAAAACGGCGCAACGGTTTTATTAATTTTGGTTCTTATTATATATGTGTCATAATGTAGATTAAGGCTCAAATATACGACATTAGTGGGATTCCAATTAGACAGCAGACTTTCAGTACTATAATACTACACACACTCAAAAATTATTTATTTTAAATGTGTTTTAGACTATATCACAAGCAAAATTAAACGCTCAGACACTATTTAGATTTTTTTTTATGATATATGCAACACATTTAAATTTTTAATGGATTTATGCAATTAACTTTATAAATAACTTGTAGATTAGTAGAAAAACAATACAAAAATTACCAAATACGTACGTGAACAGTATGATAGTCACTTAGTTGCTTTTGGGTTCTTCCAATAGTAATCTTTTAACGTATTTTAACTCCAAGTGAACACTAGTCACTGAGGGCTACATATAATCTTTTTGAACTGGGCCTTTTATGTTAGCTGTCATCTACACATTACACGTTCAGCCTGATCAACCATATACAAAGAGTGAATGTATATACAGCTCTTGTCACTGTAGCCCGTGTAAGGATAGTTCCTGGGTTGGATTAAGTTTGAACTGTATTTATTTTAAAAAATAAACAGTTAGTCGCACAAACGTCCATTAAAGTTTAATAACCACTATAAAGTCTAATGAATGCTCAAAACTTGAAAAATTATATCGTTAATGTTGCTTTAAACTAGTGACAAATTTAATGGACATTTGTGGAACTGAGAAAGTAAGATTATAAAAAAATATTGGCATGTCGTGTATGATTGTAATCTTAACCCATGTGGGTTCTGAGTATATATATATTTTTTATTTAAATTCCATGACACCTTTCGATACGGTTTATATTTGCTTGCTCAAATGTGACTATGTTTATGAATTTCTTAGGCAGCTTCCGTTATTCCCCATTCATCTACGTAATGATATGCATAGGATCTCTCTTATCAACACTGCACTGTTCAATCCCGGATACCACATATCTCCAATCCTTTCATCTATTCATGATCTCTCTTTTTGCTTATCTATAGCTACCGTTTGTTTATCTTCCTCCAATCTCTATAATTCTTTAGTTTTTGTATCTATTTTGGGGTTTAAAACATGGTCATAAAATTAAACAATATTTTGGTGCTACAATTATTATAATTTGTTTCATCATATTTGTTTTTATTTTTTTACTTTGTTTTTATTGCAGTAACTGTGACAGTTACTGCAAAGTTATTTTACGGATTGAATTGTCGTTAATTAAATTTTCTATTGTATAATCAAAACGCGTTTTAAATTTATAATTCAAAAAGTTAAAATAATATTTTAGTATCTGTTTCATTTTATTAGTTTTTACTTAAATATTTTGTTAAGCACTAAAGTTTTTTCTCGTTTAGCATTTAGGTGTACGTTTTTAATGAGGCCATTTGTGTACGTGCTAGGAGGGAGCTCAATTTCATACCATCCTTCAAACGCGACGATGCCTCCCCAAGCTCCACACAAATTTTTAGTCCTACTTAATGTAAACACATTTTACACACACATAGCAACGTACACTCGTCAAATATATTTCCCAGTCGCCTCGCTAGAATGTTCAACGGTTAACAGCTAGCATGATAACTCTCTTAAACGAGACAGGCTTAGCAAAAAAACTTTGCTGGAATAAAATTAACGCTGGCAATGAACGGAAATCTTAAAATACTTATAAGTAGACATATCTAGTATTAAATTAAATTGTTTTAGAATGCTCAAACATTCTATAATATGAGTGGTGGGTGAATAAAAAAATGTTGAACGGTTAAAAAGTATTTTATACTCAGATTTCAGCCAACTTAATTAGACACCAAAAGTTTCCCGTTAATGTATCCCATTCAATGGTGAAAACAATATCACAATTAGTAGTTTTTGTTTGTTTTGTAATATCAAGGATACCTCTTATTTTTCAACATCGTATGTATTTTCTCTTCACCAGCTCCTGAAATAAACGCGTGTTATTTATTTACTTACCTTCATCTACTTGCCATTGTTACGGCATTTAACTTTATGGGATTGTTTTTCTTTATTCTCGAATGTGGTTACATTACAATTAGGGAATGCAATCACGTTCTTGCGAGATATCGTTCTCGCGAGATCTGGGCCTTTTTTAGCGAGATTGATCTCGGTCGAAAAATGGGCGAGATCTGGCGAGTTTAACGAGATTGCACTTGAGCATAAAACGATTTATTCTAAGTGCAGCAGCGCGAATTTATGCGAGTCCGGGGGGTTAGAAGACGATGTTTTAAACTTTTACACTTCTTGTGTTTTCGAAAGACTTTTCTTAGTGGCTGGTTATCTGGAAAGCACAATAATAAGAGGAATACAAAGATTTTTTGGACATTTTGTGATTCATAAGAAGTTATTTTCAAAATTATTCGTAATTATGACGTGTGGAGTGAAGTGAATTAGCCTTAAAATTTATTGGTATATTTTGTTAATTTATTTTCTAATTTCTAATAGATCTCTGGGTATATACATAGTTTTCTTTTATTGATAATAATCTCAGTTAAATAGTCGATTTAACTTAGTAAGTTTTATTTAAGTTTTTGTTTTTTGTTAAAAAAACTGTGTATTATAATTAAACTTTTGTTAGATATTAGCAGAGAAAACTAGTTATTTATTCAATTTCGTATTTGATAAGATACGGCTAAGTTTAGTTTTTTGAAAGATTCGTACCTGGAAGACTAAGTTTTACTCGGCACTTTTATAAAATAAAGAATTAAACCTAACCAAATCGATTTATCGCCTCTGAGAGCCCCCGCATACTTAATATCATGAAAATGTTGAAGCCGTTTTCAAGATTATAATACAGTAATACACTATTAAAGGGTTTAGATAAAAAATATAATTGTGTCAAACAATGTGAAATAAATAAAACTTAATTGTAAGTACCCGTAAAAATAATGCTTATTTCATAGTACCTATAATTACTATATTTATTTCCTAATTTATTCAAATATTGTGATTTGAATAAACAGTAAACAAACAAAAGTGCCAATCTCGCAAGATCTCGCGGTACTGATATTCATAAACTCGCGAGATCTCGCCTGAGTCCCAATCTCGCGAGATTGCATTCCCTAATTACAATGTTTTTTTTATATTTCATCTTAAGAATTTGAAATTTTGCAAAGTAACAAGACTAATAATTTTATTGTCCAAAGTAATTCAAATATTATTGAGGTCCCAGTTCGTTTCCCAGTCGGATCAATGCAGCAAATAAAGTTTTATTCTTCCTCTCGGGTCTGTGTTGTGTTCGTTATCCATAATATGATTAATTGATTTCCATAATATAAAAATTTTGTTACTTAAATTACGTTTAATATTGATTTAAATTCAAATAATGTTGCTTCTACTACCCACCACACTTTTTGCATAGCAAAACGAATTTTAGTTGGTATAGTGCCATTACTTTTTCTGTAAACTAATAGCATTATTTTTCCAATACTCACAAGAACTCACTACGAATAATGTACCTAATGTGAATAATTCATTCCAAAGTTGTTTGTTACAGAAACTGTACCGCTTCATAAATTGTGTCGAGTTAGTGTCCCCCCACCATGCGGCCAGAGAATTGGTGAACACAATACGTCAGGGACACTTTACGTCATTGTTTCAGAAGAGTGTTAAAAGGGTAATTTTTTGCAATGTATTATTTTTAACACAATATCTTATAACAATCCTTTAATCTCGAGCATTTTATTTGAAGTTTAGTTATGGTCGCTGACACTGTCCGTCAGACAGTTCTATCTGAGACTTGTGAAACAATAATTTGCAATTTATTTGGCAGTTTCTAATAGGTTTCTTTTATAAGTTTTTAATAGGCTATCAGAGACGTTATCAGCAAATTGTGAAATTGACCCATAATCTCATAAAATAATACTTATAAAAAATCACCCGAATCAAGTGCTCGGTAGAATATTATACCACTTGCCAATTGTTGAATATTTTTAAAGTATATTTACAAAAACAAATATAGCATTGCGAATGCAAAATTCTTAAATATAAATAGAAGCGTTTGTCAACACGTTTGAAAATAATGTTTATGTCATTCAAATTGAAATAATAGGATAAATTTACCTGTTTGTGTGAATCAGAAACGAGAAAATAAATATTTCATATGTATCATCTTTTTTTAAGATACATAAGATAGATATCTTAATAATAAATCAACGATGCCAATACTTGAATAACTTCATAAGAAAAAATTATCAATATCAGCTTACGACAGGAGGTTTGGTTTGTTTCAGAAGGAACACGAACAGCGTAGACGAAGAAAGAGTAAAGCGCAATTATATGAAATGATCCAGGCTATCAGAAGGTGAGTAGGAAGTAGGTACTGTTTATACAAAGGTGAAATCAAATATAATTTTCACACCAGCATACTTACATATATATTAATTTCTATAATAGGGTTCAACAGCGGGATCACTCGCTGGGTTCCATCAAAGAACAGGAAACGGTAGAAACTACTGAAACTGTTTCAGAGGAATTAACAGAGTCCAAATTCTTATCGCCATCTCCTGAAGTCTCCGCGCGATCTCCCCGTCCAGGCCGTTCACCTAGACAACTTCGCTCCCCAAGAGGACGTCGGAAAAGATGCAGCTTAGCCGGACTGAATGTGAGAAGATTCAGTACGGATTCAGTATTAGGATCAGATTCGGTGTCTAACATCTACGAAAGAACCAGTTTGAATATAGGAAGAAGACTCAGCAGGGACGTAAATTGTCTGTCTAGTTCCCCTCCTGACATAAATAGTCGCTTACGCACACCGTCGCCTATGGTTCGACGAGCTGAAGGATCTTCTACGAGGAGTTATCAAGATGTTTCAGATAGATCGGAGAGTTATTTATGTTCTGATGCACCAATATCAAGAGCCAGTGTTGAGATTTTAGTTTCAGAAGAGCGAGAGCTTCCCCCTGCCCCACCATATCCCAGAATGTCACCTACGGGGGCGAGATCAAAACTATCTATGTTGTCTGAAGAAGAACTTATAAAACTTTGGCGAAGTTCGGAAAGAGAGGTTCGCGAAGCATTATTAGCTGCTTTGCAGGAGAGACGGGCTAACTTTGATCCGAAAGAAGATCCGGGATGAAAGGACAAATTTAAACCTCTTGGAAGAATATGGTTCGTTGATTCATTTAGAATCTCTTTTTCGCTTCACGGTGTAGAGCGGGAAACAATAGGGAGTATCGATATGATAAACACGCAGTGGTTGATTTAGTGCCTTTTTTACATTGTTTGATGCGGACGTTTTGCAGGTTAGTTAGATAAATCAGTGTTCATTTTAGTGTCTTGTTATTATTATTGTATTTAAAAAGCTGCCTTAATTTACATTTAATTGCTTCAGTAATTCTTGGTCCGCGTCAAACAATTTAAATATCGGTACTTAGTGGGTCATATTATATATGGAGATATTTACGTCCAGAAATCAAATTAAATTATATATAAGAAATTTAAAGTGTAGATTCTTAAAACATTACGACGTATGTATAAAATTAAGATAGCTGACCACAAGATAAAGTGCTTTATTCTATAGTCTACGTAGTTGACCATAGTAAATTTCATGTATTATAATAAATAACTCGAAGATTTCAAATATTAGACATAGATATTGCATACGTTAAAATAAATTTTTAATACGTATATCTTTTTTGTGCGGGGAAATGAGACATGGACAGCTAATTAATCTTGGTAAACCGCCTATCTGTGGTAGTATGTATTGAAATGCGTGTTATCTCTACTGTTATAATAATTCTTTTATGTCATAATGTTTTTTTATTCATTTGAATATAAGTATGCATAGTTTAGATAAAATTGCAGTTGATGGACATAAAAGGTATGTTGGTTCCTATAAATATAGTTAAAACTATTATACCCAAAATTGCTAAATTATTAGAGTGTCAATTGTCTCGTAATGTACTGGTTCAAATGGTACGTATAGAATAAAAATAGGACAAAACTTAGTTTTCTTTCGATAATTCAATATGGCGCAACCTTGATAATTAGTAATTTAATTAAAGAAATTACTATTTATTTCTTTATTTTACTATACTTGGCCAGAATAACATATAAATTAATATAATAAAATAACAAAGAATTTTCAAGGATATAACTTAGTATTTTTAAACATATACTAAGATTAGTAATCAGACATTTTATGGATATGTTCATTTACCTTTGCCAAAACATTGTTGAAGCTACGATCATCTCGTGAGGAAAATATATTTACTATTGATCTCAGATATAATTAATATGAAACGTATATAGAGACATTAATAAATGTTTTACGACTCTACTTGGGACTCTATAAGAATTAAAAAAAAAACTGTACCAATAAAAAGAATTTGGGACTCGTGCACTTATAATTTTTTATTTACTTTGTTTTGCATTAAATATGTTTTTGAGATGAGTAAATAGTGCATTTGTTGATTCACTTTAGTAATTAAATCCACATTGAATTCACAGAAACTAATGATGATATTAGAAATAAATATAAATAGTTTATTGTAGAATAATAGACGAGTGAAAGTAAGCTCTCTTATTCCGTACATCACGCAGAGGTGTGTAAAAAAATTCACGATCTCTAACAATGTATTCACAAATGCGTCGATGGGACTGAAAGCGTCGAAACAATAGAAGTTGTTGGCACGTGAGAAAATGAAGGTATTTTTATTGAGAAATGGAGAATACGGGACGCAGTATTTCAACGTTCAAATGGCACGATCTCAAAAAAATGCTCTCCTTTTAAACTTCCGATCTCTAACTGTTTGACTTATATGATGCTGTTTGTTTTGCAATTTTTTGTGTGCAAAATAATTTTTATCAAGGTATTTTTATTCCATCAGTTTATATTGTGGTACTTATTTAAATAATATTCTATATTTCGTAAGCTACTTTCTGTACAAGCGTAAAAGAAATTACAGTTTGGTTTCTAAATCAAATTTAGTATTAACTCCATTTAAAAAATTATATACTGTCAGTGAATTATCGAAATATTATTCATGCTCGGGAGATATTTTCGTATTATTCTACTACAGTGCTATTAATAAACAAGGTTTAGCGTCAGAGTATATTTACGCTAAAATTTCAATTTTAGTATTAGTCCAAATTTATAGTAAACATAGAATAAAAACCTACAACCTTCTAGGAGAAAATATTACTCCCGTAGAACCACGTATTATGTGAACCTTTGCTAACTTTCTTTTTAATAATAATAATTTTTACTCATACTAAGTGCAGTCTCAGCGTAAATTTAGTCCAACGCTAAACCTAAGCTATACCTTGTTTATTAATAACACCGATTAGGTTTAATTAGTTACGAAAAAGGATTTCATTAGCTTGCACATTACCAAAAACTTTCAAATTTTGATTTATAATGCAAAAAATTACTAATTCCGCCGTCTTCTAAACACTTATCAGTGTTTCAATCAGGTCGTGAGCCCCTCATCTAACTAAATATAAACATAAAACAATATATCTAGTATAACCAAAATCAAGACATTTTTTGTTTCACCATCAGATTTTATTCAGTCACTTTCAGCAACCGAAAGGCATTTTAAAATTTCTAAATATTTTGTATCCATTAGTAAGCTCCTACTATCGAATACTCTGAAATCTAGTAACTATTTAATAGATTGATCGTGGTTAATGACTTATCTTTCTACTGCATCTCACGACACTCATGCATTTTTGAGTGTTTTCATATTTTGATTTAATATGCATTTTTCTTGGAGTTTAAAGTATATGCAAATAAAATTATTATTATGTAACAATATATTTTTTTTATAACAACGAAGTTCGAAAATGCTTGGCTTTGGACATATTCAATAATATAATAGTGAAAAATAAGAACGTAAAAATATTAAAAGTAGTTGTTTCATGTAAAATGGTTTTACATGGCTGGTCAACTGGTCGTTGTTTTTACATTACCCCAAATAGAGTAATCCAGTACACTGTATCCAGAATACTTTATTTGATAGTATTTTTTAATCATGGAATAAGATTCGGATACTTTAAAAAGATCTTACGAAGCCGATACGCTACCAATAACAATATTAGTGTAACAAAAAACTAATAGATATTTTATAAATCTTAAACGAATATTTTAGGATAATTACAAAATAATCTATAAATACATGAAAAGTAAAGTTAAATCCTTTCAAAATATGAGATTTAATTATGAAAATATTTGAGCTGTATCCCTTTTTACAGATAAATAACATACCTTTTATGTACATTACGAATGAATGTTGTTAAATGAATATTGAATTAATAAATATTATATTTACGTATGATGACAAAGAAATTAATAAAATACTGCCATACATTATTATATAATATTAGCATATACACTTCTTCTTAGATTTGCACCCTTGTAGAGTTTAGTTTAGATTTTTTTCTCTATAATCATATCCTATATATTCTTCAAAAATTAATCTAGTAAAATACATTTATATAATAAACTGTAAGCAATAATTAACAAAAGAGATAGTTATAATCAAAGCAGTATTTTTTCTTAAAGGTTTGCATGCACGTACAGAGCAGCATTCCATCCAAAAATATTGAGTACTTAATAAATTATAAATGTATAAAAAGAAAACTAGAAAACACACCATATAATTATATTGGCAATATTTTAAACTTATTTTTAATTTTGTGACTTTATATTTCAAGTTTGGACCAATACACAAATGTTAATTTATTGATTAAAGTTATTCTATTGGATGTAAGTCATCTGGTGATATATAAAGTCTTATGCATTCCTCTCTTAAATGTATTTATGATATTTACTATAGATAGTCTATTAAATTGCTGAATAAGAATATTCAATATTAAATTAGATGTAGATACTTAATATTGTAATAAATTCAAAATAATTGTATAATTTACGCTTGATATTTTTTTTGTAAGAAATACTTCTGCGGAGAATTAGAATTTCATACAATGTAAGTTCCAGATCTACGTTTTAATTCATTTCAATTATTAAGTTGTTCATTTACAATTCTGTATTTAAAAAGGCTATGTAATTTATATCTCAAGACAACATTTTTATTCTACAGAAACAACAAAACCGATAGAATATATTTTTCAACTTATCAGAAACACCTGTTCAACGTATCTTAAAGTTCAAATTATTTGATAAAGCTTTTTACACATATACATGGCTACAAAAAAGCAATATATTAAAGATTTTCTTACTCTATTGATTTCAAGGAAAGAATATGTTAATTCATATAATATTCATTAGTAAACATAGGCTTTGATATTGCAAAAGGTTCCTTAGATACTCCTTTGAATATTTTCTCCTTCTATGAAATAGCGGTATAATTTCAAAATAATTATTTTTTGCTTACTTCTGAGAATCTCAGGTATCAAAGATACCTCTAGATAGCTATATGAATATATGCTAGATAAAATTATTAATGAAGAACAATAGGAATTAATCTGATAGCAAATGTTAGATATTACGTTTATAAACAAAATAAACGCCAATTTTAATATTAGTAACACCGATTTGGTATATTATGTATATGTATATTCATGTAAATAAAAAAAATTAAATTGTCTATAAAAAGTGATTCAATAAAATGTTTCAACATTTGAACAATAATGGGTGAATGATATAAATTCGTATTTCCTTTTAAGTATCTATTTAAAATAGTATTAAAAATACGTTCAACTATGACATCGACGCTGTTAATGTCATATTTACTATTTATAATAGTTACGAGGAATTGAGTAAACCAATATTGTCACATTCGGGGGAAACGATGATAATAGAAAAATAAATATTTGTGCCAATTGTTCGTTTTATTTGCATTATTTTCTTAACAAATCTGTTTCTTTTTGATTCCTTCCTTTCTTCCTAAAGGTGCTCGTCCTCTGTATCACTACAGGCACGCACCGGCCGCACAACACGCAACGTATTGCATGTATATTTCATAGACGCTTCTACGAAATACCTTTATATATAATTGGAATCTCAGAAACGGCTCCAATGATATTCATGAAATTGGGTATGCAATGAGTTTCGGTTTTTAAAAGTCTTTTAATACCTCTTTCTTGATAAATTGCTACAAATTCATGAGAATAAGAAGGTAAATTTCGGCACTATCCACAGGGTTATACGTAGGGTTGAAATAGTGTAGATGGGACATAATAAGATCTCAAACCCACGAGGGACATGTTCGGAACCGGCTTGCGATTATTTTGTTCTCTCTTTTTTATTTAAATACGAAAAAATGCTGATCGTTAAAAAACAGTTTGAATAACATTGGCAAGAGAAGCCGATATAATGCGTTGAAAGTCGATGTTCCAAATGAAAATCCTTGACGTACCTACAATACCTACATAGTATAAATAAATAAAAATAAATATTAAACAACATCACATACATTGCTCTGATTCCAAAATGAGTAGCTACTCATTTTGTATGGAGTATCTGACACTACGAAGGTACCACAACACCCAGACCCGAGACAAAAGAAAAAAGTGAATTTTCTATATTGACCGGACCGGGAATCGAACCTGGGAGGACCTCAGAGATGGCGAGACCTTGAAACCGGCGTACGAACCACTCGGCTACGGAGGTCGTCATCAATATGGAAGGAAGTATGAGGTTAAAGCCCGATTAAAGAATAGTAACATTATAAAAAATCAAAATCCTGTTTTAAAAATACAGTAGCGTCATCTAGCAACAGGAAGCAAATGTTACAATGTAACTATAGATTACCAGAAAAACTAGACAGATAGAGACAAAAATGGTAAATAAGCCTTTAGTAAAATGCGTCATTTTAACATTACAAACACACGCCCAATTTTATTTATTTGTATGGGATAAATTCTAAAATAAAATAAAAAAAATTAACCGTTACAGAGATTAACTGGTACATACAGACAGACAGACAAAAATTTCATATGTATACCGTGTATACAATACGCATTTAATAAATACCGGTTATTTTAATATTACAAATAGACACTCCAATTTTGTTAACGTGTAGTATTGATATTGACAAACTATTAAAAAGTAAGTTTAGACTAATATTATTAAGAGGAAAAATATTATTGTTTGTTTGTAGGGAATAGAGGAATAGAATCCGAAACAATTGGAGCGATTTTAAAAAGTATTTCACCTACGGAAAGCTAAAATATATGCGGGTGACATAGTCTATATTTTATCCCGAAAAACAACACATTAATGGATGAAAATGGGAGTGGAACTTTATATTGGGAATTAAAACGTTACCATTGTCACCTTTGTTATTGTTTACTTTTCAATTTGCCGTTGTAATTATCCGTTTTATGATCATGAATCCTTATCCAAATCAATTATTAAATTATTTAAGATGATTATGCAGGAGTAAATAATTTTTAAGTTATGTAAACGAAAACCTTACATTTGGGTCATCTCGATAGAAGACGTCCTTGTATTTTAAAACGGGATTTTGATTGTATATTATGTTTGTATATTTATTGTTATTTCGATTTCTATCATTATGAATACTTATCCAAATCAATTATTTAAGATGATTATGCAGGAGTAAATAATTTTTAAGTTATGTAAACGAAAACTTTACATTTAGCTCATCTCGATAGAAGACGTCCCTGTATTTTAAAACGGGGTTTTGATTGTATGTAATGTTTGTATATTTATTGTAATTTCGATTTCTATCATTATGAATCCTTATCCAAATCAATTGTAAAATTATTTAAGTGATTATACAGGAGTAAATAATTTTTAAGTTATGTAAACGAAAACTTTACATTTAGCTCATCTCGATAGAAGACGTCCCCGTATTTTAAAACGGGATTTTGATTGTATGTAATGTTTGGTGATTTATTGTTATTTCGATTTCTATCAATGTTGCTTTCGTTTTCAATTTGCCATCTTTTTTTTTGATAAACTGATTTAATGGGGAATGTTAATCGGGTGAAAAAAATTAATGTTACATTTAGCTCGTGTCGCCAGATAATGCTACTGTATTTTAAAAAATGATTTAGATTTTTTGTAATGTTCCTTTTTCTTGTTTCGATTTTTATCAATGAAATCGTTTGTTATTTTGTGGTTTAAATACCTGTCCTTTTACATGGTTACAACCAAAAATATAACTACAACCAAAATTATCAGTATATAATAAAATATACTGATAATTTTACAACCCTGTCCTCTAAAGATAAAATCTAGGAGTGTGTTATATTTGGTAACAGTTTTTTTATTCATAAATGTTTTAAACAAAAGAAAGTGTGTAGAAGACAGAAATAGAGAAATTTCTACATTACGCTTATTATCTTTTATATCATTGGCATTCCTACTATGACCAATACGAAAATAAATTTGTATATCTCAAATTTACTGCAAAATTATTTACTAAAATAGAAAATATTATTTTAATACAGGTAACGTAAACGCGACCGCAACAATGTCATACCAATTATAAGCTTCTTTTGTATTTAGCAATTTCAGATTTAGCCTATATTAGCTTTGTGTTTATTTGAATACGTAACCCCAAAGTGCCTTTGACAATAGCCTTAATAACCGGCTTGTAAGCTAACTGCGAAAATTAATAATATTATCGGAGCAAATGTCGTCACGTCTTCATTTAGTCGCTCTCAGACCTTGCTATTGGTGACATTTACCAAGATGCAAATATTATTTTTAATTTGTTTTTGTTTGTATATAAGTTTTGTGAATTCGTTGTTTTGTTTTTGGAACAGTGGATGTCCGTACAGACACTTTTCAACGAAAACACCGTATAATTTAGTAAGGGGTGATATAAGAGATTCACAAATAAAAGTTAAAGGTATGTCGATTTTTAATTAATTTAGAGACTTGCTGATTTAGTAAGTTTAACTTTCGAGTTAAACTTACTAAATCAGCAAGTCTTTTAAAGAATTCCATTTTACGAAAACTTTAATAACTTCCGTAGATACTTAATAAGACCCAAACCCAAATTAACGTTAGTGAATTTTAAGATATTTCAAGATTTTATTTTGAATAGATATATTTTTTATGTATGTTCACTAAGTTCTCTCTCCGATGAGATACAGATTTTTTAGAAAAGGAATAAGCAATTCAGTTTTTATAATTATTGTCCAAATAACAAAAATATATATTCATTATTGTATATTATTCGCACTTCTTTAAAGTCGTGAAAATATTTCCTGATTGGTAAGGAAGTTCCTTTGTTCCTTTTTTAGAAGGAAGTATAAAAATTTGTAAGAGATACTTTTATCAAAAGAATGATGAGATATGTGTTTTTTTCGGTAGGTTGTAAACCCGTTAGTATATGGTCACTTTATAGAAACGGTAAAAGTTATCCAGACAAAGAAACTGCCAATCATATGGAAAATGCTGTTTCAATACGAAATTATATAGCCGAGAGTTATACGAAAGGAAAATGTTCACTCTGTGCACAAGATGTTGATAATCTAATTAATTGGAAAATGGATACCAAATTGTTTAAGGGTATTAACGCACTCACTGATGAGGGATATCAAGAAATGTATTCTATAGCGAATAGATTAAAAGCTACTTTCCCTGATTTGTTTAGCCATCTTAAAGAAAATGAATTCGTATTTAGACCAACTGCTGCTGGAAGGATAGAAGAAAGTGCACGAGCATTTGTTAATGGTATTGATGACAGATTATTTATAGAAAATGTCAAAATAAATGATACCATCACAGTAAGTAAATAGAAAATATTTTGTTTTTTTTTTATTTTGTTTCAGAAATATGTTTTAAATAATTATAGATTTATATGAGAAAAGAATCTTTATCAAATTTATTTTTTTGCTTTTGCCTAAATGTTTTGATAAATAGCCAAATTTCAAGAAAAAATAAGTGCTATCTAAATTATCATAAATGCATAATGGCATGGGAACTCGTTTTTGCTTTTTGTCACAAGACAAATAGCCTAGAAGTTTTATTATTATTAGTTACTCCCTTCTTTTATGATTTGTATTATAAAATATATTTCTTTGTTTTACTAGCCTTATACTTCATGCGGTAAATATGAAAGTGAAGTTAAATCTAATCCAAAAACATATGAAGAGGCAGCCAACTATCAAAAAAGTTCAGAATACCTTGCGGTAAGTGTACTTACTTAAAAAGATTTAGTCTAATACAAAGAGAGAACAAAAACTTCAAAAAGACAAAATTTTACCTTTTATTCAATAAAATAAAATCAAACAATACTACAACAACTAGTCAATAAATCGATTTGAATACTTTATAGAGTTATTCAAGATAATTAATTCTGACATAAAACCACAAGTAAACGAGAGAATAGGCCATTTTATATTCGGTTTTATCCTTTTTTATCAATGGATTTAGACTATAAACCTTGAAAATTGTCAGTCTCAAAAGTACCCAATCTTCAATTTTTTTGTAATAATAGCAAATTTTGGAACTCTGAAACTGTTTGAGAAAATAAGTTCTAAATAATCATAGTTAGGATTTAATTTTCAATGAAGATTTACATCCACTATGGAATAGGCCTTTCTGTGAGTGAACCGTAATAACAGGATGATTTCAAAATATTTAATCTGTAGTATAATTGCTGTTTTAATCACCTTTATTGCTATAAATCTAACTAACGAGCCACCGTATGTAGCTATAAAGAATGTACCTACGTTAAACAATTAAGGATTTGATATACAGCCTCCTGCGGTTTGCTTAAAGCGAAAACAACCCCTATCATTATGGGAGCTGCCTTTTCCAACATGTTAAATTAAATTTTAGATGGTGATTTTCTTTATTCCTTTTTTTCTATGTGAGATATCATCTGTTAATAGAATTATATCACGTTTTATTCCAGATGAAAGATCGCGTAGAGAGACGCACTGGTCTCGACTTCAAATTGACAGATGAAAATGTAACCGCTTTATATGACTTATGCCGTTTCACTTGGTCTGGTATAAACGGCATAGCGAGTCCTTGGTGTGCTCTTTTCACCTCTGAAGACCTTCAAGTGTTAGAATACGTCGAGGATTTAAACCAATATTACAAAAACGGCCATGGGTCTCCTACCAACGTGTTGTTCGGCAGAATAATTCTGACTGACCTTCTTAAAACTTTTCAGCGATCGAAAGCTGGGGAGGGTAAAAAAATCACAACTTATTTCGGTCAATCAACCGCAATAGACATGGCTTTGTCTTCCCTGGGGCTATTCAAAGATAAAGAATATCTTCGTAGTTCTAAAAGGAATCGAGACAGGAAGTGGAAAAGTTATAAGATGTCGTCGTTTTCAGCTAACATAATGGCAGTTTTGAGCAGGTACACTTACAAGATTCTAAGCAAATAATAATATATAAGATAGTACAAATTATTAAACAAATAATTTGTTACTTAAAGCTAAAAAATGATTTTTTTTTCAGGTGTAACCTCAATGGTAAGGATGATTACACTGTGGTGTTTTATTTAAATGAAGAACCTATAAAGTCGATATGCTTAGAAGGAATATGTCCTTGGAATGAGTTTGAAGAAAAATTTAAACCTTTTCTTGATACTGACACGAGTTTTTGTGATTTTAATGCTATACGATAATTCAACTAATAATTATTATGTAAGTTTTTAATGTAGTAATCGTAGCCATTTTTTTTTGTTTATGATAAGAATTGCAACTAAATATAGTATCTACTAAAATAATAAACAGATAAATATTATAATAGATATCGCATTTTTTTTTTATTTTAATTTATATATTATGATAATGACTATTAAATGGATTCTATATAAATATTTGAAGTCCATTGACCTGGTTCTGATGCGACTTTGAGTTTAAACAGATTTTTATATATATTTGAAATACAAATACTTTACATTCTATCTTTTTATGATATAAAAAAGTATCAATAAAAAAAGGTCGGAAGACAAAGGTTATTTATTTTCAAATAAGAAAACAGGTTGTCTTTCAACTCAAGAACACCGTTGAATATTAAAGATCTCGCAAAAAGTATCTGTAAAGCGCTTTACACATTAAACACGCCGCCGGCACAGCTAATGGGTGGAAGTAGCGTCTTCAAATTAGTATTGGTATTTTTACTTATGATAAATGATGTATTTTAATACTAACTATATTAATAATGAATATAATAATAATTAGTAAAGAAAGTAACAAGTACCTGAAAAAGACTGTCTAGCTTAGGGTTTCGGGTAGCTTATTTGCTAGAGCATATATTTTTATTATAAGTTAAACATCATATTCTAACATTTGATGTCAAAATAACGCCATAAGATAGACATAGAATTATCATCAGTATTGCCATTTTAAGTAGGTAATACGCGATTTAATTGTATACCAGAATCCATTTGTCCGTGATAAAAATCTTCAATGCAATGAATTTTCATCAAGAATAAATAAAATTAATTTAAACTTAGTATAAAAATTACAAATCCAGATGAATCATCCACACATTGATTAAAATTAGTAGTTTAACTTGTTATTAGGTACTTTAGACTAAAAAAAAAACACTCACAAAGCCAAGTTATTTTTATATGGAAATGATATTAATTTTCCGGCAGGTTTGGTGTGCAAAATCCTTAACTGGTAAGAACTTCGAGAAATCAATGTCATTTCTGAAATTACTCGATCAGAACTGTCATATCATAATAACTGAAGTTTTACAACTTCTAAAATTGTTATTTTTGGTTTAAATGCCCCTGAAATTTAGTTGATAGTCGTTTATATAATATTTCTGTTTCAAACAACTCCCATTAAAACAGGGATTGTTTTAACAAGGCAACGCGGCGCTACATTATTATCATCATAACAACTGATAAAGTGAACTTAACAATGTAGTTACGTATGTATGTTTTGATTTGTACACTGGCTGTTTTCCCGCGACTTCGCCTGCATAAATTATAACCTATGCCACCCTCGTATGATGTAGCTTCATGTATGTGAAAGTTTGTCAGGTCAGAGATGCTCTAACTATTTTACGGTTCGTCGAACATGCCGAAAGCAATATTCTATGTTACTCGCTTTGTCACCTCTAATGGCTATATCATATGCTAATCAACTCAAGAACAGAAGAAAGAAACCCCATACCACTCAATCAAGAAGTTGGCAGAACATCTCACAAAAGTTATATGGGGCGCAGAGAAAAAAATATTTTTTGCAACGGGATATCAAAATTACTATTCGTCAAATCCTACAAATTAATGAAACAGATATTGCAACAGTTACAGGTGGAAGCTATAGCTATAATAAGCTAGAAGTACGTAAAATTTGATCAACTTGTAACACAAAAGAAAAAGCGCAAGACACAGTATGTACCTGTGTTTTGAATATAAATCTCTATATGTCTCTAAAGACGGTAAATCGAAATCTGTGAAAGCGAAAAATTACAAGGTTACAATTTTATAGAAGAAAAAATAATAGTGGTTAAAAAATGTTCTCTTTCTTATTTTATTATCAAACTTTGGAAACAAAGTAAAATTAAATAGGATTTCGAGTTTCTACTAACTTATCAGAATATATACCGAATTGATCGTTAATTTTGGTTAAAATTTATAGTCAAAAGAGTGTTTTTTTTTTTGGTACAGCAACAGAAAACAAATAAAGATGCTGCAAGCTGATTGTAATAATAACGTATCCATAATGGTTTTTCTTTAATTGGTATACAATAGTGATTATTTCAAATAGTCAAGAAAACTGAATAGAATTTTATTTTTGGAAATAATTTTTTATGTTATTTACTTACTTTTTGTTATTTTAAACTAAATCAGAATATTTTAGTGTCCTGGAAATTGAAACTTATTTACGTAGTAGATTTTGCAAGCACAACGATGATAAGCAGATGTCAATTTATCTTTTCCACTAAATTGGAAGCGAAAGTAAAAATAGAAAATGCTTGTCACCTCGAACATCCTTTTTACCTGGCCCTTAACGTTAGCGAGGATGGAAATGTGTCACTATTTGGAGTAATGAGTGACATGGATATGGTTGACCCATTTGATCCATGAGTATAATAATGATTTTTTCCCAACCATACCTTTGGTTTTTAACCTAGAGCGTGATATATGGATTTGGTGCACAAAGAAATATTAACAAATAAGAATATTGTAATTGTAATAAGAGTAGCTCGGTGTCGTAGTGGATAAGCGCCGCGGCCCGCGATCGTTGTTGTTAAGCAATTTTCGCAAGGGTCAGTCATGGGATGGGTGACAAAAAAATTATTATCTCGAGCTACTCCGAGCTTCGGAAGGCACGTTAAACCGTGGTCCCAGCTACATTTGTAGTCGTTAATACCCTCCAATCCGCATTGGGCCAGCGTGGAGGGTCATGGCCCATCCTCCTTAACCGTCCATAAGGAAGGCCTGCAGTAGGGACGTAAAAGGGCTGATGATGATGATGATGATGATGATATTGTAATTGCTATGGTTGTAAATTGAAATCAATAATAAATATTCCATTGAGTCTTACTGTCGTATCATCATCATTATATTAAGCCGTTTTACGTCTCCACTTCAGACTCAGGCCTTCGTTATGGATGGTTAGGAAGGATGGGCTATGACCCTCCTTGCGGGTCCAATGCGGATTGCAGGGTACTCACCACTGTAAAAGCAGCCGGGACCAACAGCTTAACATAAGAAGTAACTCCAGATAAAAGATTGTTAGTTGTATCCTCATCGGCCTATTACTGTCCCCACAGCTGGGATGCACCCTTCCTCATGGATGAGATTAAAACTATTCAAACAGGGAAAACCCCCCACGTGGGCCTAGTGTGGATTGATGGATGATAACGATTGCAGACCAACAGGACCAACGGCTTAACGTGCCTACTGAAGAAATTTTTGGTCACCCATGCGAAAGTTGTTGAGTTCCGCCGACCGCATTTGCTAACCACTGCGATATCTTCATTACAAAATCATTAAGTAAATAAACTAGAATTTCATTACATCCAGCTTGATTTAAATTATTTCTTCGAGGAATATCAACTGAATGACAAGTATGAGTTTCCATGTCGTTGCACGCTATTGAAGTTTTAAATTTGAATTACGAGCGCAGCCCAGTTGTTTCGTCTTGCCAAAGACCGAAAAGAGTATACAAAATTGACAGCGAACTTTCACTAGTCCGAGAGCTACTATAAGAAGAATATTCTGGATTTTACGATTCGTTGTGTAGCCATTACGATGCAGAAGTATTTTAAGTATTTATAATGATTGAACGAAACTTGAACTCAGCACAAGGTAGGTATCAATTTTATTGTAATAGCAATAGTTTCAATATGAATAAAAGATTAAAAATCTACACGCTCCAGGTGCCCCATCCCAATTATCATCGCACTGCGGTAAAGCGTCAGTATAGCGTAATGAATCCGAAAATTATCAAACAAAGCTTTATTGGCTCGTTTTCATTTTACGGACTTTTTTGTGTATTCTCACGCTTATATTGCGATACACGGTTTTGGGCTCTATTTACTAAATATAAATTGTGTGCCTATGTCAATAAATAAACAAAAATGTATAAAGTTTTATTTAACAAACAATCTAATCTTAACCCTTCGTTAATGTTCTCAGTTTACCCGCACATTGTTTAGTACAACCCTGTTACTGCCTCATTTACCTTCTTTGTTCTTACCTTACCGTCCGTAGAGGTAAAGCTATATAATCACTATTCTCTGAAGACCATTTAATTGCGGACCTATTTATAATAATTATTATGTTTGCTCACTGTCATCCACATTGAAATATATAGATGAAACAAGAATTAGTCTAACAATTAATTTATAAGCATTTCAATACACAGTATAAAACAAAATCGTTTTACATCTGTCTGTACCTATGTATTCTTCGATTTTTTATTTATCTTTAGATTTTTACGCAGCGGATTTTGTTGCGGTTTTCTTGAGTTGATAAGGTAATTGAAAAGGAAGGTTTTTATGGATAATACAGAACCAGGCGAACGAAGCCGCTTGGGGGAATATGATATAAAATGACTAGTTTCCAATCACGGGTTCATTTGCGATACCCTTTATGACATTAATAATTCCTTTAGCTATTTTGGCAGAGTAAAAAGTATTCTAAGTTGCTCAATAAAGAAAACCACATCAATCTGTCGCTTCTTTTCGTCGTTGAATGATAAAATAATCATTTAAATATGATATTTCTAAGTACAGATAAAAAAACGGAATCCTATTACTTACTACACATGAATTTGCAAGTTTACATTTTTATCTTATAGCCAAAAAAAATCAAACAAGGTCGTAAGTTCGTGTCACTATGGAGTTTTTTTTTTTATTTATATAGTTCTACAAGTCAAGTCACTAAATTTTACTGTATAATTATTAGGGATAACTACAGCAATCATTTTACAACAGTATAACTGAAACTCATGACATGTAAGGCAAAGAACAGTTATACATTGCTTCTACATTTAATTATTACCTACTTTAATAGATAAAATATTTTTGATGCTGGTTGGTGGTTTCTACTGACGTCGTAGCTGTCGGCAGGTATTAAATAAGTGATTATGTCACGGTTCCTGTTTTACGTTTGAGTGACATATCTCTAATTAACCGCACCCTCACCGTATCCACCTT